AAAAAAAAAAAAAAAAAAAAGACAGAAGAAAGACGAAATGCGAAAGAGAAAAGAAACAACAAGACAAAAAAAATTTAAAAAAATGAAGAAGAAGAAGAAGAAGAAGAAGAAGAAGAAGAAGAAGAAAAAAGAAAGAAAGAAAGATTGAATAGGAAGAAGAAGACAGAGAATAAATAAATAAATAAAGAATAGGAAGAAGAAGACAGAGAAGAAAGAAAGAAAGAAAGAGCAGGAAGAAGAAGACAGAGAAGAAAAAAGAAAAAGAAAGAGAAAAAAAAAAGAAAAAGAAATTAAAAAAAAGAAAAAAAAAGATAGAAGAAAGACGAACTGCGAAAGCGAAAAGAAACAACAAGACAAAAAAAGAAATAAAAATGAAGAAGAAGAAGAAGAAGAAGAAGAAGAGGAAAGGACAAAACAAAAAGAAGCTGGGGAAGAAAAACGAAGAAGAAGGCGAAGAAGAAGAAGAACAAAAAAATTGAAAGTAGAAAAAGAAGAAGAATTATAAAGAAGATGAAGCAGAAAAAAAATAAAAGAGAAAGAAAGAAAGAAGAAGAAGAAGAAGAAGAAGAAGAAGAAGAAGAAGAAGAAAAAGAAAAAAAAGAAGAAGAAAAAGAAGAAGAAGACAAAGAAGAAGAAGAAGAAGAAGAAGAAGAAGAAGAAGAAGAAGATAAATAATAATAATAATAATAATAATAATAATAATAATAATAATAATAATACAAAGAAGAAGAAGAAGAAAAAGAAAAAGAAGAAGAAGAAGAAGTTTAAAATCATATAATGCAAATCATTGAATATATTGGCGTGTGACTACAACAAATTTACCCGTTACAACATAAAACGGGAAAAGAACCAAATAATTTGAAATAAATACCTACACAAGTAAGATACAACGCGTTACAAAAAGAAGAAGAACGAGATAAGCAAAAACAAAAGCAAAAAGAAAGAAAAGAGAGCAAAGGGGGACCAAACAAAAGAAGACAAAGCAAAGAAAGAGAAAGATGAGGAACACGATCGAGGTTAAAAAAAAACCAATTGGACTATGAGCTGGGAATCAATCAATCACGTGGAATTGCGAGCCCTCCAAGGGCCTCTACATCAATAAATTTTCCACCAATTTTGGTTTCTTTTTCTTTTCTATAACATCGTACACTAGCTGCTGGAGCGCTACCCCCATATCCACGACTCGTTCCTATCAAATAAGCAAATGTTGATAGAACAATGCCAACACAACCTACCAGATGAGTTCTTTGGTCTGCGAATAAGACAAGAACAACGCAACACGTAATTGGAAGTACAACAAAACACTTCAGCAGACGAATCTCCACAGGTATACGGAAGGGTCTTGGCGCATCTCCTTCGATCTCGCGCAATCGAACTAGAGCAAGGAACTTGAGTATTGTTGACAAGCTGTAAAACCACATCTCCGTCTTTTGAAAATATAAATGCATAAAAAATCAAACCAACGACAAAACAAAACCAACTCAGACAATGCAAAATAATACACGAAAAGTTGAAAGCCAACATACAAAACAAAATAACAAAAGCAAAACAAAAAAAAACAAACATACCAAATCAAGTTTAATCAACCTAACAATTTAACAAACCAACAACCAAAATAATCAAACAAAACAAAGTTTAACAAACCAAACCAACAAAAGAAAACCGCCAAACAAACCTAGCAATCCAATGAACTAAACAAACCTAAAGACAAAATAAACATTAGAGCCAACAAACCAAACCAAAACTAACAAAACCAACCAACAGGCGAATAAAACAACAAACCAACGAAACAGACAAAAAAACAAGCAACTAATGTTAACAAGCAAAAACACACACACACACACAACACAAAAAAGAAGAAGAAGAAAAAAAAGGAAGCAAACATACACACACAGACCACAAGGGAGAGAAAAAAGAAAACTATTGGTCATATAAATTGATGATGTGTTTAACTTACCTAGCGAACCAACCAACCAACCAAAAAATACAAAGCTGATAGACAATGAATAAACAAGCAAATAAAAGCTGAGAAACACATGAACAAAAAGAAACAAACTAAAGAAGAACTCCTACACATATAGACCAAGAGAGGAAAAACCATCATTGACTCATTGGCCATGCCAATTTTGAATTGGCCATGTGCCTCAGTTTGTTAGCTTCCAGCATAAACTATATAACAAAAAAATAGGACAACACAAAGAAAGCCACCCACATGGATAGATAAACAAACAAAGATAATAAGAGTTGACTAACAAATAAACAAAACCGAAAAAAAAAAACCCGAAGTGAACAAGACGCCATACATGTACAAGCCAAAAGGGCGGAAAGACGCCATTTTGGCCCTGTTAATTTACCATGTGTTTTACTTTTGTGCAATGATCTCACAATTGACAATGCTCCTCACAACATCACACCACACTTCCATGTGCAAGTTCACACAAGAGATGCACATCACATGATATGAGACACTTTGAAAGTATATTCCAGAAATTGAGTCTTATACATCAAGTCTCCTGTATGTACATGTGGGCGGCTATGGCCGCCAAGGCTCTAAGCAGGTATGTCTCTCTCTCCTTCACCCTACCTTACATGGAGGCCTCACCCACTCGCTCTCTGATTGCCTTCCAGCCCTCTCCTCACGTCTCTCTCTCTCTCTCTCTCTCTCTCTCTCTCTCTCTCTCTCTCTCTCTCTCTCTCTCTCTCTCTCCGTGGCTGCTTTGCCTGGTTTACACTTTACTACAATACTGCAATCATTGTGCAAAAGAAATTGTGTGCAATTTTAAAGTATGGCAGTGACAAATGGGTGTGAAGGAACATACCTGTGCAAGTGCTGAAAAGGGAAGGAACGTAGTGACGGCCATGCAGGTACACATCGCCAACATGGCAATATAAGGTGTCTGGAATTTAGTGTGTATTGATGCAAAACATTTAGGGACTGTCCCGACATTGGCCATTCCATACAATACGCGAGAAGATGTGCAGAGCAAAGTGCACAACAGTCCAACCTGTGTGGGACATGAATAAAAGGAAGAATCACACACAAAGGAGAAAGAAAGTGAAACGATGTTCAACAAACATCATCATGATGGCGTCAACAAGAACCTTGGAGTAGCAATGGAGTTATCATGGTGTTGCAATGCAGTCGAGCCCCGTGCGATAATGTTGTTGGATTGCAACACCAACAACATGGAAATAATAAGTTAAAAAAAAAAAAAAAAAAACTAAAAAAATTCTTAGTTCAGAAAGTTTAAATAACAACAAACCACTTTTGCTGTTTTGCATAAATAGAATGTATGTATTAAAGTAAGATTGCTACCGTCTTTCCATGGACATAACACATATGCGTTTGAAAAATTCAAAAATTCGAATAGAGCCTAGGAAGATTTTCATGCCCGGCTGGGCACCTGGGCGTGACGCCGGGGGTACCCGGGCATGCAAAAAAAACAAAAAAAACAAATCCGGTCTCTGTTCATTTTTTAAGAGTTGGCTGTCAAGGGGGGTAAAGGGGGCTATAAATTCGTTTTAAAGGGGCTAATGAGTTTAAAGGGGGGTGCCTTAGTGTGATTTTGTTATTTTCTTTTTTTATCTCCAATTCGGTGAGGAATTCTGATGTGACCCTCAGCCAAAAGTTGTTTGTATTGCAATTCTAGTATTATTCTACATAACATATGTTTTTTCTGGAATTGTTTGACCTTTTTTTTTTTTTTGCGCTGGTGCTGCCCAGAACCCTGCCAGGGGGTCATGCCCGGCCGGGCACTCGGGCGTGTATCCGCGCACAAGTTGGGTGCCCAGGCACCTGGAAAAACTGCCTAGAATAGAACACATTTGTCTTGTTCTGCGAAAATTAGGGTTCTTCGAAAATTAGGGCTCTTCGCCTAGAACGCATATGATTTGTATTCGAACAGAAAGCAACCTATGCGTTGTAGTCGTTTACAATGTATATTATGCGTTATGTTTGTGGGAAGCTGGTAGCCTGGTAGTATCATCGCTTCGCCAGGACCATGAATTTCATATACACTGCTACACTGTCGAATTTATTGTGGATCTTTTTTTCCTCGGAATAAGGCCTACAATATTCCTGCTGAAAAAAAAACGCAGGGTACAGGCAAATAAGGAAAACGTTACACTTAGCAGCTGCACAGTTAACCCCACAGTCCCACTGGGGACGTCAATGCGGGTAGCCAAGATGTCACTTGCATTCTACTATTCTTCAATTGTTCAATTGAGACGCTGGACCCGTTTTCCAGCAGGTGCGGCTCCCCAGCAATAGAATGGAGCAACCAGATCGCACATTAGGGGAGGCTGCTTGTATCACCCCCCCTCGTGACGCTGGTCAGGCTTTCCCAGAAAAAAAAAAGAAAAAGAAAAAAAAAAGCTTTAGTCCTATTGCAGACAACGAAGCAGACTTTAGTTGAGGCATTCCAACAAATGAAACAGTTTTACCTCTATAGCAAGTAACATGGCGCACAATAAATCTGTAGAAAATCTCTTTCGTCAACTATGTTTACTTTGGCTTTCTTTGGGGTACCCCTTTCATTTGCTCTTGCAGCTTCCCTTTTACTATGCCTCTCACATACAAGGCTGGCCGGTTTGACTGTGGTTGAGTGCCAGCTGCCCACATCCCCGTGTGGCGTAACAGCACACTTGCAAGTCATGAAGTCAGGTATACTCCTGTTCATTTTTTTTCAGATCTTCAGCTTATATTTTGTCTGTTCTCTTCATGATGCTCATTCGTATGCATTTACTCGTAGTACACAAAGGGGAGGGAGGAAGGGAAGGGGTATTTACCACTGTGTGCACCGTAACCCCCGTTGTCCCATAGGTCCATTAATTATCTGCAAAGGTAACAACACTGAAATGACCTGGAAGATGCAGGATGTACCATGGTAACCGTCCGGACGTCCGGACCGGGTTCCAGACAGTCTGGTGTCCGGATGGAGGCCCCTGGGGCAAAAATCAAAAAAAAAATGGGGCGGCCTAGGACGTTTATCGGGTCCTGGCCGCCCCTCGAAAAATAACAGGGTGATTTTTCGGTGTCTTTTCACCCCACCAGACAGGGCCTAGAGGTCCGGACACAAGACACTGCAGGTTTTTGGGGTGGCGGGTTTCACACAGGCCAGAGCAATTTCAAAGCGGCCGTTTCGACGTGGCGCCCGCC